CAGTCCATCTCATCTCTCCAATGCCTAATATGTCAATATTTATGTGTTCCATTTCTTTCTTAACAATTTCTAATTTTCCTACATTCATGGTTCTCACATTCCATGTTCCAATCACTAGGGTTTGCTTACAACTGTTCCTCCTCCTTTATATTTCCATACTTGAAAGTTCTACCTAGGTTCCCCTTTCTGTTAGTCTGCGTGATGACAAAGTAAAATATTACAATGAAATGTGCAAGGGCTGGAGTCAGGAAATCAAAAGGGCCAAACTCACTCAGCATTTCTTAAGCTCAATGAACTGAAGAACAAATTCAGACCTCGAGTTGCTATAATCCAGGATGCTTTAGGCAGAATATGAAATGATCCAGGAAGTATTAAAAGAAGATGGAAAGAATATGAGTCACTGTATCAAAAGTAATTGGCAGACACAGAATTTCATGAAATAACATATAAGCTAGAGCCTATGGTCATGAAGGGAAAAGTTCAGGCTGCTTTGAAGCAAATAGCAAAAAATAAGGCCCCAGGAATAGATGGTATACCAATTGACGTATTTCAGCTAACAGATGCTACTCTGGACGTGCTCACCAAGTTGTGCTAAGAAATCTGGAGGACAACCAGTTGGCCAACTGATTGGAAGAGATTTATATTTGTTCCCATCCCAAAGAAGGGTGATACAACAGAGTGTGGAACCTATAGAACAATATATTGATTTCACATGCAAGCAAGATTCTACTGAAGATTATCCAAAAATTACTGAAACAGCACATCAGCAGAGAACTGCCAGGAGTCCAGGCTGGGTTGAGAAGGGGGCGTGGTACTAGGGAGTTTGTAGCTTATGTTAGATGGATCTTGGCTGAAAGCATGGAATACCAGAGGAATGTCTGTGTTTCATTGATTATGCAAAGCCGTTTGAGTGTGTGGATCATAACAAACTGTGGCTGACTCTGAGAAGAATGGGAATCCCAGAACACTTGGTCGTGTTAATGCAAAATCTATACTTGGACCAAGAGCCGGTCATTAGAACAGAGCAAGGAAACACTGCATGGCTCAAAATTGGGAAGGGCGTACGCCAGGGATGTGTCCTGTCTCCATACCTTTTCAAACTGTATGCAGAACAGATTATCCAGGAGGCTGGGCTCTATGCGGAGAAATGTTGTGTCAGGATTGGTGGAAGATATATCAACAATCTGCGTTATACATATGACACAACCCTGCTTGCTGAACCTGAGGAGGACCTGAAGCGCTTGCTGCAGAGGGTCAAGGACTGCGGCCTTCAATATGGATTGAGGCTCAATGTCAAGAAAACAAAGATTCTCACCACTGGACCAGTTGGCAGCATCAGGATGGATAGTGAAGAGATTGAGATGGTTCACGGCTTTAGTCTGCTTGGCTCCACAGACAACACTCTTGGCACCAGTAGCCAGGAAATGAAAAGACGTATTGCGATGGGAAAGTCTGCTGTTAAGGACCTCTCTAAAGTACTCAAGAGCAATGGTGTCTCTCTGGAGACTAAAGTGCATCTGATACAGGCCGTGGTCTTTGCAATCACTTGTTATGCATCAGAGAGTTGGACAACGATTAGGGAGGACTGAAGGAGAATTGATGCCTTTGAGCTGTGGTGCTGGAGAATAGTATTGAATGTACCATGGACTGCTAAAAGACAAAGAATTTCATCCTCAAGAGGGTTAAACCGGACTGCTCCTTGGAGGCAAGGATTCTGAGGTTTCGTCTGACATACTTTGGATATGTTGTAAGGAGGGACCGGTCCTTGGAGAGGGACATCATGCTTGGGAGGGTGGAGGATGGCGCAGGAGGGGAAGGCTCTCTATGAGGTGGATTGATTCAGTGATTGGAGTGATCAGGATGGGTGTATCAGAGACAGTGCGATTGGCACAGGACAGAGCAGAGTTTAGGGCTGTTGTGTATAGGGTCACTATGAGTCACAAGTGACTTGATGGCACATAACAACAGCAACAACAACAACATAACTTGGGAGAGTCTGGAGAGCATTTTGCCGAGTGAACTAACTCACTTTCATAAGGACAAATACTGCATAAAATCATTATTGTAAAAATAGAGAAATAATTAGTAAAATACATGTGTAGGTGCAAGGGGAAAAGCGTGGGAGAAAAGGGAAAACAGTGGGTAGGGAAGAAATGACAGAACTGCACAATTTGGTGAATGGAGAGAGGGGGTAAAGGAAATGGGAAAGATCTGCACCTGAAAAGATGGGGTAATGAAAGGCATAGTCCAACGATGATTAATTTTATAAAACACAGTTTATAGGAATGATTATGTGAAACATAATGCCAATGATGGGAAGTGTGGGGGAAACTACACATATAAAACCCCCCCTTTTTTTAAAAAAAAGTGTCCTTCTGAAATGCACACATCATATAGAAAGCAAAGAATTTTGAGTGAGGACAGAAGACCCTTCTCTTCCTGTTGTTCATTCATTTTTACAACAATGAGGGGTTCAATAAATTCTTAATATCTACCTGTGAATTGGCACCAGTGTCAATACAGACAACAGAAGATGAGAGACAAAGAAGGCAGATCATATACAAGGTGCCTGAGGGAGGAATACTGCCAGAAAAATAAACAGGTTCATCCTGGAGAGGGTGAAATCAGGCTGTTCCTTGGAGGTAAAGATTCTGAAACTTCATCTGACATACTCTGGGCATGTTGCAAGGTAGGACCAGTCCTCAGAGAGGGATATCATGCTTGGGAGGGTGGAGGGACAGCACAGGAGAGGAAGACCCTCTATGAGGTAGATTGATTCAGTGACTGAGGTGAAGGGGGTAGGTGTGTCAGAGATAGTGAGGTTGGCACAGCATAGAGGAGGGTACACAGCGTTGCTATGAGTCACAAGTAACTCGATGACACGTAACAACAACAACAAACAGGGTCTCAAGAAACCCCAATACTCAGCTGAATCATGCACGTGTCCTCTGCATCCTCACATCCAGTCCTTCCCAAGAAAGTCACCTGACAACTTCCTTCAGATAATTTTCCCTTCTCCACAAGCCACCCAGCCTTGGGGTATTTGAACCATTTTCTGCTAGAGGAACCCATATGTCTTTGACTCCTCACCACTTACTTCAGGGAGTCAGAACGTCTTCATTGTTGTCAACAGTCCTGTAACAACACCATTTTTCAGAGGAGACCACCCTTGATGCCCTCACCTTAGAGAGACACACAATGAAGAAACTTAGATTCCTTTCCTGAACAGAGGGAATGGGAAGAACCTTGGGAATTTTGATGGCTGGGTACCAATCTGGGAACACTCACCTGTATTTATAATGTCGGAAACACATTTGATGGGCCTTGAGCTTAGAAATTAGAAGCTTGAGAATCTTCAGGAAAATGAAGAAATTGACCTTGGAGGGAAAGGAAAAAAAGAGTAGATTTTGGTGAGTGATAGTCCCAGTCTAATCATAGCAAGGTCAGGTGGGCTCGGCCATCAGTTCCTTGTCTGTGTTAATCAGTGGCAATTTGGCAGACAGCCAGTCAGGGAGTAAATGCTTGTGTTAATTTCCAAATTCCAAAGGTGATCTGAATAGAGAATATGGAAGAGATCTTGAAAAGTGTTTTTTCTTCTTCCTCAAGGAGGGCTGCCAAAAAGACACCTGGACATTCACCTTATCAGCATGAACTAACATTTATTAAGTACTTACCATGCCAGGCTTTAAGCTAAGAAGGTTCCACACTTTATTTTACTTAGCCATCATAACAACCCTCTGGTAGATAACAACTATCTTTATCTCCATAACACGTTGGGGAAACAGGAACAGAGAAGGCAAATCCAATTCTTCCTAGTGTCACACAGCTTGTTAAGTTGTAAGCTGGTATTTAAATCTGTATCTGTTTGATTATAACCCTTCTCTTAGACAGAATGCCATGCTGCCTATCTTCTTTAAAAAACCCTAACACTATTCATATCTAACTTGAGGGCCTGTAGCTTATAATGGCACTTCATCTCACATACTTTGGGCATGTTGCTAGGAGAGGTTATGCCTTGGAAAGGGACAACATGCTTGGGAAGGAAGAGGGACAATGAGAGAGAGGAAGATTCTCAATCAGATGGGTTGACATGGTGACTGTGGCAATGGGCTGGACTGTGTCAGAGCTGGTGAGGACGGCACGGGACAGGACAGGGTTCAGAGTGGTTGTTCATAGGGCTGCTAGGAGTTATACTTAAGGACATCTAACATGTTGTTAGATATTTAACTATTCATTGGACAGTTCATGCTTACTCCCCAAAGTATTTTTCACAATTACCATGAACTGGAAAAACTCAGTCTCTCATCTTCAGCGTTAGTAGGAACTCTATGATTAAAAGTATTTTTACATTCCTCCTTTCAAAAGGCAGAGCCTGACTCCCCTCTCCTTGGATGTAAGTAGAAAGCTCAGGTGCATTGCTCACCCAAAGGGCATGCCTTTCTGGCAGTTCAAATCCACCAGATTCTCCGCAGGAGAAAGATGTGCCATCTCCTCCCATGTGTTGTACAACCTGAGAAACGTGCTGGGGGGTTGGTTAGCTGTTATTTGGCTCTCCCTCAATAGCAATGGATTTTGAGAGTGAATGTGAGATAGTTACTTGTATCTACTGAGAAGAATATTATAAAAATGGCTCTGAGTTTGTGACTTCTGAAGCAAAGTCCCCAAAATAGTGGGTTCCACCATATTATAGTTTGGGTGAAGAATATGGAATATACCATGGACAGCCAAAGAAAGGGACTGAGAAAATAAGTCTTAGGAGAAGTGCAGGCAGAGTTTCCTTAGAAGCAAGGATGGTGAGACTTTGTCTTACATGCTTTGGGCATGCTTACCTGGAGGGGAATCTTGGAAATTAAACAAAATAAAACATTATGTTTAGAAAAGTAGACAGTCAGTGGTGGAGAGGAAGACCCTAAAGGAAATGAACAGCATCCACTTCCATAATAGCTTGCCTCTGGAAACCCTATGAACCTGGAAAGAGGATGAAAGGCACCCAAGCGTCGAGGACTCTCCTTCATAGGGTTGCTATGAGTCACCTGCGACTCGACGGCACTTAACAACAACAATATCATGTAGCATCAGGAATTATAAACTGGCACAAGATTGGGCAGAGTTTCGTTCTGCTGGACATGAGGCCATTTTGATTTGTCACTGACTCAGTGATACCTAACAACAGCAACAACTCTATTTCCTCAAGAAAGACCTCCAACAAGATGAATTGACACAGTGACTGCCGCAATGGGCAGTGTCAGAGAAGAAGAGGATGGCACAGAATAGGACAGGATTCAGGTCTGTTCTTCATAGGGTTACTATGGGTCATACTCAACTTAATGGCACCTAACACAACAGCTTCTATCTCTTGGATTTTGTACTCAGGGGAAGCCAGCTGCCATGGTTCGAGGACATTCAACAGTCTGCACAGAGATCCATGTGGGAAGAACTGAGGCCTTCTGCTGATAACCAGCACTATTTGCTAGCCACGTGAGTGGGCCACTAGAGAAGCAGATCCTGTGGCCCAGTCTAGTCCTCAGAAACCTGGCCACCAGCGTGAGAGATTATGAGACAAATTGTCCAGCTAAACCTCTCTTAAATTTCTTACCATCAGAAATGGGATGAGAGATGTTTATTATATTACAAATTTTACAAGTTGGGGTAATGTTTAAACTCTGAAATAGCTAATTAAGCTTTGATGGTGGAAATGGAGCATTATGGGAAGGCAAAATGGCATCTAGATCTGGGGAGAAACTAGCTCAGGGGTTAAGTAGGAGAAGAAAATAAAGTAGCTTGAGAAGGAAAATTAAAAGAAAATAAAACATTTTCAATGAATATTAAGGCTAGGTAAGGTCACTTGTCTCCAGGACCCTTCCTCTCCTGCAAAAGTAGATGAGGAAATATAAGGGTCATGACATGTGAAGGAACTGTAGAAGAAACAGTATGTATATTTCATTCTTTTAGCCAATAGCTATTGTGTTCTTGTTAAGTACCATCGAGTCGTATGTGAATCATAGCGACCCTATGAACAAAAGTCCTCAACACTTGTGTGACTTTCATCTTTTCTCCAGGTTCATAGAGTTTCCGGAGGCAAGCTATGATGGAAATGGATGCCAGTACTGCTTCCTCGCTTGTTTGAATTGGGGAGCTCCACCAAACACTGTCTACCATGGGTAACCATTATCACATTTGGCACATCAGTGTCACAGTGTTCAGCTTCACAGCAACCACGAGTTACCTCAGTATAGCAAGTGGACAGACCAGGGCCATATGACCTAGAAGAATGTTTCACCAAAAACAATTAAAAACAGGCCAGAGGGCCACGGATTAAAGCCACCCACCTTTGGCTTGGTAGCATCACTTTCTGTCCACTAGGCCAACTGATCTCTATTTTGTTTTTGTGGTTGTTAAGTGCCTTCGAGTCATAGCCGACTCATAGTGACCCTATGAATGAAAATCCTCAACACTTCAATAACTATTAAGCATCTACTATATTTCAGGCTTTGTACTAGATGCTGGAGCCAAGAGGTAGAAGACCATCCCCTGACCTTAAGGAGCTCATAGCCTATTGGGTGTCCACTAAGGAATAGTATGATAAGACAGAGGAGTGGGAATGGTATCATCACATCCTCATAGGGGGACCTGTCCCTGATGATGTTGTCTGGCAAAGACTTCCCAGAGAGGTTAACCTCTAAACTAAGACTGGAGACACACTAGGAAGAGTACAGTCACATGAAGACAGGAAGGAGAGCACAGGGGCCAAGGTGAAGTCTGAGAGACCTGGGGAAGTGAGGGGTGGGGAAGGGCTGGGTGCCGCTAGGCCCTTCACCATCTTGCTAACGCATCTAGGTTTTCTTCTGAAAGCAACAGAATCCCTGGGTGGTGTGAAAAATTAATGTGCTCAGCTGGAGGTTCAAGCCCACCCAAGGGCACCTTAAGAGAAGGCCCTAGTATTCTACCTATGGAAAACTGTCCATTAAAGATTATATGGAGCACTACTCTGATACACCTGGGGTCACCATGAATCACAGATGACTTGATGACAACTAGTGTTGTGGTATCTGAAGGCCTTGAAAAGAGCAGTGATGGGTTTTAAGTAGAAAGTAACCTGCTCAGATTTGCATTCAGAAAGACCATTTTAGCAACAGTATGGAGAAGGAATTGGAAGAAGGCAAGATTGGAGGAGGAAATGCAGGTGGAGGCAGTTTCAGTGTGGCTGGTGGAGGTGGCCTCAAGAAGCCCTGGGACTTTGTGATGGACAGGAGGTGGTGGATTTGAAATTATTAGAGAGAAGGAGGCAAATGGCCTTTGCTATTAGTTGGATGTGAGGTCAGATATGACCCTGGAACTTTGCAGTAGGCCTCAAATGTGTGATAATGCTGTTTATCAAGAGAAAGGCCACAGAGAGGTGGAAGAACACTGGAAGTGAAAGAGATGATGGATCCAGAAGACATGGTCAAAGGCAGTTAGCTATTTGTGTGTCAACCTCGGCAGAGACAACGTGATATCATGGAACCACTGGGGTAGGTGAGATTGTCCAGGCAAACTGTGCTGACTGAGAGAAAATGAAAGTTAACAGAGTCACCACGGAATGAAGGGCAAGGTGGAGGCAAAAGGGACAGCTAAAGAAATTGAGAGAAAGTACTTCAGGTAGTTGGAATGAACCACAAGGAAGGTCTACCCTGGAAGCTAAGCAGAGAGGCCTGGAGTTCTATTACACAAAACTAGACAATGCCAATTTTGTAGATCACAATAGAGTTCTGGAAGGTGAGACCCCTAGATCAGAAGGCACAGCAACAGCCTCAATAACAAACTCAAGCACACCTATGGTCAAAAAACGCCATGGGGCCGAGAGCATTTTGCTGACTTGTCCATGAGGTTATCATGAGTCAGATGTGATGTGGCGGTAACTAACAACAAAGTACTACATAGAGTTGAAGCAAAGTAAGTCTGCATTTTGCCACATGGAGGAGGAGAAGCCAGACATATGAGAGCATAGCCGGATCACAATTCTTTGTGGAGTGAATGAAGTATGGAGGGAGGTGGACAGCGAGTGCAGACAATGTTTAAGAGGCTTGAAAGTGACAGGGGTAAGCAGGGTGATAGGAGAATGGCTTACAAGGGACACAAGATGCTCCCCTTCTTGTGTTTACAGGACTGAAGGGAAGGGTTGGTTGCACTTGTATTTAAGATAAAGAAAATCTGTATGCAGTGGAGGAAGTAAAAAACCAAACCAGAAAGAGAAAGCAATAAAACCCCCAAAGCAAACCAAATCCGTTGATTTTGACTCACGTATGCAGATCAGAACTGTGTTCCATACAAGGCTTCTACTTTAAGAAGCAGATCACCAGGCCCTCTGGGAGGACTCTTCTGAGGTGCTTCTGGGTGT